GACACAGAGACAACACATTTGCTGTACCTGATGCAAGGCACGTGCGTTGTTTTTGTTTTTGGTAATGATGTCAGAGAAGAACGATTGTCGTGCAATTTTCAATTCCAAATTATAAAGGCCAAGTCTCTCTTTATAGATTTCAAAGTGCACCTGGAGATTTGTTTTTCGCCACCTGCGTTCAGCTTTTCGACACTCTTTTTTCTGTTCTCACGGTCATGGCCTTTCTCCATGGAGATATTTTCTTGCCAGACACTTCCTTTACCTTAGTTGGAGCAATGGCATCTATAACATTTTTAATTTTTGAATTAAAATGATCTACTAGCTCATTTACTGAGATGTTAGCAGGGGCAAGTGTGGAAGAAAAACTCTGAGTAAACATTTCCCTAGTGTTTTCAGTTAAATATCGCTTTGTGGTTACCTCTTTTTGAACATTTTTGTGAACAGAAATAGAGCTCTCAAAGAAAACACAGGAATGGTCAGAGAGTGCAACATCAGTCACCACAACCTCAGAGATATTCAGACCCTTTGAGATAATTAAGTCCAGAGTGTGCCCCTTATTGTGCGTGGGCTCCGTCACATGCTGAGTCAGTCCATAGCTATCAAGAACACAAAACAGTTCTTTTGCCCCTCTGTCCTGGGGGTTGTCAACATGGATGTTAAAATCACCAACGATGACTAGACGGTCAAAGTCAATACACACTATAGACAGCAGTTCAGTAAAGTCATCAAAAAAACTTGCACAGTATTTGGGTGGTCTATAGATATTTAGGAACAGAGCTCGAGAGGAGCATTTCAGCTGAAGGGCCACATATTCAAAAGAAGCAAAGTTTCCATAAGATGTCTTCCTGCATTGAAGGGAATCATTGAACAGAATAGCATCTCCACCTCCTCTCTTATGCATTCTTTCCTCACTCATAAAACTAAAGTTGGGAGGGGTTGATTCGATAAGAACAGCTGCACTGTTATTTTGTTCAATCCAAGTTTCTGTTAAAAACATAAAATCGAGATTGTGCTCAGTGATAAAATCATTGATTAAAAAAGTTTTGCCAAAGACCTGAAATTTAATAAAGCTAGTTTAAGTTTGTTAAATCATCAGTCAGATTTTTTGTGACAAGCTGTGGCTGACATGGAGTCACTGCTACATTTTATAAACTCACACAAAAGTTTGAGCGCTTCCTGTTTCTAAGCTGATTCACCGCTCTCAATCTATTACCTATCAACACAGATATTGGCAAAGCTACAGGCAGGCAGGGCCCCGGCATGTCCTGGAAAGAGTTGAGAGTGCCATACGCCCTTGATCCTGGACATATCAGTTAGAGTTTGCTGCGTTTTGTACACACACATTCTTATCAGGCTTCGGAGACCGCAGATGCTGTCTTGAAGGGGGGGAGGTGGTTGAATTAGGCATAGGGATGAAGACGGGGGAGATGGTGCGCGTCTCTGCTTCGGTGATTGTGGTGGGCGTCGTTGAGGGGCGGGGGTAAAGGACATGCTGCCAACCCTGCGTATCGCCTTCATGCGGTCATTGAACTCCAGGAGCCTGGGCGAGGGTGAAAGGGTGAACGGAGAGTAGAGAGAGCTGGGGGGTGAAGGAAGAGTATCCTCAGAGGTGATAGGGGGGGAAGGGCGGTGGAGACTCCTCCATTTGTCTCCCATAATGAAAACATTCCTCAGGCGGGTGTATTGATACTTCTTCAAGGTTTTCTGAGCGATGTGTTGTGTCTTTCTCTTGTTGTGATTCCTCTTGCCGCTTGTCCTTGGCAGAGGGAACAGATTGATGATGCAGGCAGTTGAATATTTTAGAGAAACAATTTCACTACTGACTTGTTCAGGCAAACTCCATTTGCCTTAAAAAGATGTCTGCGGTCCCAGAAAAAGTTAAAGTTGTCAATAAAATTGACAGAATGGTCAGTACAGGCAGTTGAAAGCCAGGTGTTCAGTGCAAACAATCTGCTGAATCTCTCCACTCCTCTTCTGACTGGCAGTAGAGGGCCACTGATGAACACCTCCGCATTTAGAGAGCTGGCAGTTTCCAACAGACATTTAAAGTCTTTTTTCAGCACTTCTGACTGTTGTTTCACAACATCATTTGTTCCAATGTGCAGTACCACATTTCATAGTCGGATGTTCAGCCCCAATATGCAGGATCTTCTCAGCCAAGTCAGAGACCACATCCTTGGAAAAAAAGAGTACTTTGGTGTTGTTCTTATTACACAGACCTTTTACATCTCTTACAGCAGAGTCACCCACAATCAGAGTTTCAGGCCCAGTCGTCAGCTTTCCCTCTAGCCTTTTACTTTTGAAGTAGCTATTGGTCCTTACCCTGCTGTGTGAACAGTGTACTTGCGTACCATGCTGCGAATGGATCTGGCCCTTCCTACATCCAGGATATGGTTAAACTGTACACCCCAGCACGTGCACTCCGCTCTGCATCAGCCAAACGGCTCGATGCACCCGCACTGCGAGGGGGACCCAAGTTCCCATCAGCAAAAACACGTGGGTTTGCTATCCTGGCTCCAAAATGGTGGAATGAGCTCCCCATTGACATCAGGACAGCAGATAGCTTACACACCTTCCGGCGCAGACTGAAAACTCATCTCTTTCGACTCCACTTCGAGCGATAGAACTATTAACAAAGCACTTATATACTAATAAAGGACTGGCTTATCTAAAGCCAGTTGAGTAGCACTTGAAATGTTTTTGCTCTATGAAACCTGATGTACTTTATGATTCTGTTTTCTTCAAGTTTGTATTTTGTTGGTCGAACGCACTTATTGTAAGTCGCTTTGGATAAAAGCGTCAGCTAAATGCAATGTCATGTAAAAGAGGACAGGTTATCCAGGTCATCAGAAAGAGATCTCCGGCTCTCGGTCAGCGGAGCGTATCTGTTCTGGATTGGCACACTTGGTGGTTTAGGAGGATTGTTTGTAGTTCTCCCTTTAGCAGCTGTCCACGGCTGTTTCCTAGTATGAATAGGGGTTGAAGAGGCGCTCTTCCTGGGTGATAACAATGCAGGCCAGCCGGTCGCATCACAGATTTCAGAGCGCTGGGCTCTGCCTGTTATTCGTCCTCCCAAATCCCATGGAAATGATTTACTCTTAGGCTTTGGACCCAGAGAGTTCCAGGGAGGACTACCACTTGTAGATGTATTTCCCGGTACACAGCCCCCCTGTTCATTGGAATCCTTGTAGCTGCGAACTAGCTGTGAGTTAGCATGCCTTTGTCCATTATTTTTGCAACACTGGTAAAGTGGTGTCATTCCAACCTAGTCCATTCACTTCCACGTTAACTTCCAACCGTTGCATTTTCATTTCCGACACGGCCATCTTCTGTAGAAGTTTGTGGAAGTCATCTGTAGAGAACGGAGGCATTTTGCTGCTAACTAGCTTAAGCTAAATAGCATGCTGTACCAGGCTTTAGCTGTTGCTAGGCCACGCTCCTGTAAGACTGAGGTTGTCGTAAAAATATTGAAATATGGCTGAAACCCTCCATCTATTTATGAAGAATAACTGTCCCAGTGATAAGTTAATGTCCAGGAGCCGCTGCTCGAAGTTTTCAGAAAACAAAAATAGGAAAATCAGCATAAAAAAGTAATCAGAGGCAAGAGCAAGCAGAAAAGCGTCTGCAGTGTAAGAAAGCAGGAAGACAATAATATATAATAAGGACTATTTATTTATTTGAGTTAAAATCATATGCCGATATTATTATTCCATATACTGTATGTTATGTGTTAAATAGCTTTGAAGCTGTCCTTCAATGTGCTATCTGTAAACAGGGGAGGAAGATCAGGATTTACAGGACTTTTTTTGACGGAGGAAAATGCCTCTTCTGCTCCACAAGAGGTCAGGGCAGCAATATCTGTATTCTCTTATAAGCAATGTAAGTGCATTGTGTTGTTCAATCATGCACTTTGTTATATTCTTAAACTACCAACAAGTGCTTAGATCGTGCTCCCTTAAAACAAATATTGGAAGAACCATGAAAATATATTATTTTAAAGAACATGAACTGCATGCTTTTCTTTAAGAATCCACAAACCAGATTTTAAACGTTTATTTGGATGTATATTTTAATAATCACTTATTAAAAGACTTGTAGCCATTTTCTAGTAAATACAATGAAATTATGATTGTTTTCCTCACTAATAAATCGTGTTTTGTAAAGCTATATAATAACTTATTTTATTAGACAGTTTTAGCGCTGCACTTTGAAGCTGAAGAAGTCGTTGATCCAGATTTCCGAGCGTCTGTTCATGCAGAGATCTTTTGTTGAGTGATTCCTGCAGAGTGAGGCTGTCGCTCTGCATGTGGACTTCATTCCTCCTGACTGTGAAGCATGAGTTGTTTTAAGAAGTTTACAGATCATCTGCAGGTTTTAAAAAGTCTAGTTTTAAAACAGAATGAAGACAGGAACTCTGGCAGTGAGGATCAGCAGAGGGTGAGTTTATTCAATTAAATATTCCTCTTTTATAAAAATGACTTGTATTAATATGAATTACAAGATAGGAGTAGGCTATTATATTCAATTTAGATGATGTGCGAGTAACAGGTTTTTATTTATTAGTATTTCTTTAATGCATCTTTAGAAATTAAAGCGCAATAATGAAAGTAATCGCACCAAAACAGTAAAGCGTATGCTTTGTTTATAAATAAATAAAAACAATGGCTCACCAGGTTTTGTCTCCTTAAATCTCTTTCTTTACACAATTGCAAAAATTCAAGTGTAATATAGAAAAAAACTATAAATGGAAACCACCTTTTTTTCCACAATGCAACAAATCGTCTGTTCAAACCTGCAGGTATTTAGAGGGGAAATAGAATTGGGTAATTAATTAAGGCAGATGCTATTAAGGATGTATAAAGGCACATCGTATCTTAAGCACTGTAGCTATTTAACACCCGGGTGTTGCACTGTATGCATATCTTCTTGCTCCTTCTACAATGGCCTGGTAAGGTTACCTGAACATCAGGGACAAAGAACACCTGTGCTATATTGTGAACATGGCTGTAAGGAAATAAATGTCCCACACAGACCCCCCTCATGAAAGGGGAATTACAATTTGACGCAGCAGCACAAGGGAATGAAGTTATCAAAGAAACATTTCCATAAATACCTATACATCCAAAACAGTAGCTAATGTGTAGCCCGGGTGTAAATAGCATTGTTACCTACGGACACCCGGGTGTAAATAGCATCTGCTTTAATTAATATCTGGATCCAGTCATAGATTTTAATGTAATTCACCTTTTAATATTCCAAATAATATTATGGTTTAGTTTGAAAATAATCCTAAACAAGTACATTTTCTGCAACCGATCCAGCATTATTCAATATCATTCAGTTAACAGACATGCAATATCTTCATTTAGTTTTTTATAAATATTTCCCATCTCTTCACAGGGGTCGGGGGGGATTCCTTTGGTGAGGAAGGTGTGTTACGCTGTGGGGGGGGTCCCATACCAGATCACCACGGCAGCCATCAGTGTTTCTCTGCAGATATTTCTACTGGACGTTGTGCAGGTAAGACATACATGCTTTTACTTTCTATAGAGCACTTTGACAGTATGGTATTGGTACTTTTGTTGCAATAAAATGCTTAATACCTCTTCTTTAATCTGTTTTTACTTTACCTTATGCATTGACAGTATGTGGATTTCAAAATAAAGTACCCTCCATAGATGGAAGCCTAATTAGCCTAAACTTCTTCTCAATAAGTTTAGTTTAAGTTGCTGGTTATGTAGCCTATAAAGTAAGGTTTATTATGTCTATACATAGTGGAATATCTTCACGTATCTGAATACTTTTTCCACCTTTGCAAAATATGCTTTACTACACTGCCCTTCAAAAATAAAGTGTCCTCCCCAGATAGAGGCCCCCTCTATGTCTGTGGTTCTGTTATTAATCTTAACAACATTTTACTGCACATTCATCCCTTTTACTTTCAGTGAGGTTTTCATCACTGCAAAACATATCTATATTTCTTACTACTGCTCTGGATTTCAAAAGAAAGTGTCCTCCCCAGATGGAGGTGTCCTCTGTGTCCGTGGTTCTGTTTGCGAGCCGGGCCTGGGACGCGCTGACGGACCCCCTGGTGGGATACTTGGTGAGCCGCAGCCGCTGGACGCCCGTCGGCAGACTCTCTCCATGGTGGGTCTGTGAAGCCTCTCACTTCCTGTTACCTCCTCAGGCTGTGATGTATTGAACAGAGAGGCGGCCATGTTGTTTCTCCTCAGGTTGCTGCTCTCCACCCCCTTCTCCATCCTGTCCTACTTGCTGCTGTGGTTTGTCCCTCGAGGGTCCGCGGCCCTCACTTTGATCTGGAGCCTCATCACCACCTGCCTGTTCGAGACCCTCATGAGTGTAAGGCAGCGATACAAGATCTTATCACTTCATTTAAGAGATTCTGCTAATTTTCAGGTGTATATCAGTATGTAGTGTCTCTACTTTAAAGAGTCCTCTCCTGCTGATGTTCAGGTTCATATCAGTATGTAGTGTCTCTACTTTAAAGAGTCCTCTCCTGCTGATGTTCAGGTGTATATCAGTATGTAGTGTCTCTACTTTAAAGAGTCCTCTTCTGCTGATGTTCAGGTGTATATCAGTATGTAGTGTCTCTACTTTAAAGAGTCCTCTCCTGCTGATGTTCAGGTGTATATCAGTATGTAGTGTCTCTACTTTAAAGAGTCCTCTCCTGCTGATGTTCAGGTGTATATCAGTATGTAGTGTCTCTACTTTAAAGAGTCCTCTCCTGCTGATGTTCAGGTGTATATCAGTATGTAGTGTCTTTAAAGAGTCCTCTCCTGCTGCTGTTCAGGTGCATATCAGTATGGAGTGTCTCTACTTTAAAGAGTCCTCTCCTGTTGATGTTCAGGTGTATATCAGTATGTAGTGTCTCTACTTTAAAGAGTCCTCTCCTGCTGATGTTCAGGTGTATATCAGTATGTAGTGTCTCTACTTTAAAGAGTCCTCTCCTGCTGATGTTCAGGTGTATATCAGTATGTAGTGTCTCTACTTTAAAGAGTCCTCTCCTGCTGATGTTCAGGTGTATATCAGTATGTAGTGTCTCTACTTTAAAGAGTCCTCTCCTGCTGATGTTCAGGTGTATATCAGTATGTAGTGTCTCTACTTTAAAGAGTCCTCTCCTGCTGATGTTCAGGTGTATATCAGTATGTAGTGTCTCTACTTTAAAGAGTCCTCTCCTGCTGATGTTCAGGTGTATATCAGTATGGAGTGTCTCTACATGTCTCCATGCTTTAATGTTCAAAAAGCTCTTTATTTTTCTCATACTGTCTGTGCTGCAGCACCTCTTTTCACCCTCTGTCTGAAACCAGAGCGCAGTGTGCTCTGATTGGTTAGCTGGCCGGCTCTGTTGTGATTGGTCAACCGCTTAGAGATGTCCCGCCCCTTCGCCTATCACGTACAATGTGTTGGAGCGTTAGCCAATATGAGCGTGAGTGTTCCGTAGTGATGTCACTATATTCCGGAAGTAAACAAAGGAATCCAATGGAGGCTTTGCAGACCATTTACATGCACCAAAACCTATGTAACAGGAAATGGAAAACCCAAAAAAGGCTTCTTTAAGAGATGTGAACAAACTGAGGTGGAAGAAGTTCTCAAAAACCTGAAAGTGACATATCAACAATGTAAAAAATGTTATCCAAGTACACTAACACTTATATTATACAATTATGAAACATGGAAATCTGCATTATAGCGCCCCTTTAATCATCTATATGCCACCGTGGTGTCACACACTCTGCTGCCGTCACTTCCTGTTTTCTCCTGTCGTCCACTAACAGTGTTACCACGTGCCTTACGTCTCCCTCAACATGTTCCTGGGGGGGGGCAACAGAGACAGAGACTCCGCCACGGCCTACAGTAAGACCACCATCACCTTAGATTATAAAGAGATCCACAGCAAGAACCAAAACTATAATAATATATCTGATCATTTATTCTAATTGAAAGCAATATGCTCTCATCTTGAAGAGTACTATTTCAATTATATATATATTAATTTTTTATAAATGTTTTTATTTAACTTCTTTATTTATTATTTATTTGATTTATTTTGGTACTTGTTTTTGTTAAAGTCACCTATCATGCTATTTGTAGGCAATAGCACAGGTCTCAGATATATGAAAATATATAAAAGCATGTCTATAAAGTGTTTTGCTCAAAATACCAAACAGATCACCCATTCTAGCCACGCCTCATATCCCTCTATTTCACTTCCTGTTTCAAAAGTGATGATTTGGGGTTTATAGCTTTACAAAATAAAATAAATTAATAAATTAAAAAAAGGAGGGGGCTGAGCTCATGCGGGACCCGGCAGCTACTGTCTAAACTAAATGCTGCCGTGATGAAACGCCATATCATGGATTATCAAGGATTATCTCTGAAACAGTCTGGAGCTCAAAGGCTTTCTCTCTTGCCGGTTATACCACAAGGTGAGTTCCTTTTTACTTCCTGCTTCTTCACACACATGCTCTCCAGTACAGGTTAGCTCTGAGTGTTAGCGATGCTAATGTAAACACAGACCATATTACGTCCAAAACAGTCGGGCATTGTTTCTGATAGCAACGTTTCTGATTGGCCCGTGGGTCCACATTTCAGATATTACGTCATTTCGGACGCAAATCTGGATCAGCTCCGTTGTAGCTCCGTTTTTAGAGATTTAGGTACGGAGGAAAAGAGAGAGGGTTTTATTTCCTGACGCTGCGTGAGTTCCCTGACACGCCGGGGACACATATTGATGTATAAAAGACATCAAAAAGTGCATTTTTTATGATAGGTCCCCTTTAATTGAAAAAGATAAATAACTCCAACGGGGAACTTTTTTTTTTAAAGAACATCCATAACATTCATCTGTTTGCAACTTACACATTATTTATCTAATAGATAATTGTGTATAGACTCTCCTTGCACTATTTTAACTATTTTATCTGTTTTATTGTGTGGCTCTGTTGGAGGAGCCTGTGACCTAAGATTTGCATTGATATATCTACACTGTAGCTAATGTACACATGACAATAAAAGCCTTGAATCTTGAATATTTTACTATCAATTCATCCTTAAGTGGGCCTATATGTTGCATTCAAGTAAGGTTTTGAAAGTGATATTTACTTAGTACTCTTAGTATCTTCACAGTGTGGTATTTTACTGCAGTAAAGTATTTAAATACTCCTTTTCTTCTTCTTATTCCTGTCAGGAATGAGTGTGGAGGTGCTGGCGATGCTGTTAGCGTCTGTGATTCAGGGTCAGGTTGTGTCTGTTTACAACGCAGAGAAACAAGAAGCCTGTCAACATCTGGACTCTGAAACAACATCAGCTTCACCTCCAGCCGCACCGCTGCAGGAAACGGTAAAACTGAAGATAAGACGTGGAGAAAACTCTCGAGTTTCAGGAGCTGCCCGACTGCATTTCTCCGTATTGTTCTCAAACAGTCCCAGGGGTTTCCTGTTACCTGTACTTCTGTACTTAAGTGTGTGTGTGTGTGTGTGTGTGTGTGTGTGTGTGTGTGTGTGTGTGTGTGTGTGTGTGTGTGTGTGTGTGTGTGGTCTAGCATTACTATACTTGTGGGGACCTAAATCTGTTTACATAGTCACGTGTGGGGACTGGCTTCCCTTATGGGGACAAATTGGAGGTCCCCATGCGGGGAATCATTAATTTTAGGGTGAAGACTTGGTTAGGGTAAGGGTAAGGTTAAGGGTTAGGGTAAGGGTTAGGCATGTGTTGGTTATGGTTAAGGTTAGGATAAGTCTCCAGGAAATGCATGTAAGTCAATGTAATGTCCCCTGAAGTGATGTATACATGGTGTGTGTGTGTGTGTGTGTGTGTGTGTGTGTGTGTTATTAGCCTAGAGGGATAAGCTGCCATGATAATAAATAAATACATGGCTCAAGCTATAAGCAGAGAAAGACGGAAAGAGAACTCAATAATTAAGTTAATGTGGGATTTGTTCATTTTAAAATAAACACATGCACTGAAGTATTTACATTTATTGGGTTGTTTATTTATTAAGAATCCCAAAATGATTAACAGAAAAATACATTTTACATTTATTTTATTTGTTGAATCTGTGAATGTATTCCTCCCGGCAGCGGAAGGCGTTCCTGACCTCCTCTCTGGTGACGGGCTCCGTGTTCTTCCTCTGCAGCCTCGTGCTCTTCTTCGGGGTGAAGGAGCAGCGAGGTGAGGCGTCCAGGAGACACTGCTCATATATTAGAAATAACACTTACTTTACTTTCTTTACCTCATCATGTTCCACTCAAATGTAAAGAATATTTACCCGTGACAAACAAGGCTAAATATTCGTTACATTTCTACCATACAAATAATGACAATAAACTTAGTTATAAAATATAACTTAGTGAAAGTAAAAAATAACATTAATAAAAGAAATAACAGTGCATTTTTTTAATGAAGACTATATGATTTATTTGTGACATCAAAAGGATCAGAGGGGTCTTTGTTCCTGAAACTTCCAGAGTCTCTTAACACAGAGGGGACACACACATGTTTATGTATACAAAAGTGGATTTAGCATCATATGTAACCTTTATAGAAAGTGTATGCCATGTGTGTTTAACTCAAAAAAGTCTGTGGTGGCGCACGATGATTTAACTGAAGTTCATTCTGATCGTTCCTGGTGTTTCTTTGCCGTGTTATCTTGTCTTCACCTGCAGCTCCTCTGGTCTCTGAGGACAGACAGCGTCCCTCCTGTCTCTCGTCTCTGAAGAAGATGATCCGTCACGCTCCATATCAGCGGCTGCTGCTCGGCTCCGTGTTCAGCGCGCTCGCCTTCCAGGTCCACTTTGGGTTACTGAAGAATGACTCTGTTCAGACAGCTCTGCATGACTTTGCTTGGTTTTCAATGTTCTAATTTGGTTCTGTTTTTAAAAGTCAGAAAAGCACAATATTTCTTATATTTTTTTCCGTATCTCTCAGATGTCCTTGGGTAACTTTGCCCTCTTCTGCAGCCATGCAGCGGGGCAGGGGGAGCATTTCCAGCTCCTCCTGCTGGTTCTCCTGGTGAGGTGCAACACACATGATATGTATGTAGTATGCAACATTTAAAAAGCCTTCTTTAAAGTTCCTCCATATGTCTGCAGGCCTCTTCCTCGGCAGCGGTCCCTCTGTGGCAGACAGTTCTTCTGAAAATAGGAAAGAAGGCCACCGTTCTCATCGGACTCTCAGTAAGACATCACAGATATTAAACACGATCATGTGAGTCGTTTCCCACGCCTTCGCTCTCCCTGACTCTGACCTGTTTCTGTCTCAGCTCTTCATCCCGGCGGTGATAATCGTCGCCTGTGTCCCCTCTAACCTCCCTGTCTTCCTGGTGATGTGCGTCCTGATGGGCTTCAGCGTGGCGACCATCTTCCTGCTGCCCTGGTGAGTCACTCTCAGACCTGCTGCTTGTAGTCATTTTGAGTCTCTTCTTGGTTTTTGTGTGTGTGTTTTCTGCTGGTTCTTTTTGGTTCTTTTGGTCTTGTTGTGGCCATTTTGTGTCTCCTTGTGGTTGTTTTGCACCTGTTGAGTTTTCATCTCTTAGCAGATCTATGTAGAAGTTCTTGTTTCTAAAATAATTGTGTATCTTGCTTTGGTTGGTTTGTGTATCTTTGTAGTCATTTCGTGTGTCTTTGCAGCTGTTTTGAATCTCCTGAGGTTGTCTTGGTTCTTTATAGTCATTTGTTTTTTTTTTGGTGGTATTTTTGCACCTTTTCATTGTCATTACATCCAGTGCTTGAATTGGAATAAAAAAGGTGCCAGTACTCTAAATCAGAAACTGTTTCAAGTCAATTTATTTATACAGCCCAAAAACAAGAAGAAGAAGTCATATAGTATATCCTATAATGCTGGTGTGTTTGTCTCTTGTATATTTTAGAAAGGCTCACTGTACTTAAACAAAATGACTCAGGGTGCACCTGAGATTAGAGGGGGTGCAGGGGTAAAGTGCTATTTTTATAAGTGGGGAGTGGACCTGACCTCCTCTAGGGGGGTCCGGGGGCACGCTCCCCCGGGAAGATTTTTCTTTTTAAATATTGAAGTTAAATGCATCAATCTGGTGCACTTTGAGAGCAAAGTGAAGAGATATATGGATACCTCTCAACATCCATGAAACAGAACTGTAAACAGATTTACTTTTTCTTTATGGATATAAAAGAAAGTAAAGCCTGACTCCTACTGGCGGCTGGTTAAATGACTCCTCGTCCCTGAGTACACTCATCTTTCAGCAGGAAAGGAGAGAGGGAATCAATGGAACTGCAAGGGAGGACACAGGGGAATCCAGACGTTGGTTTATGGGATGCAGAACTTGGAGCAGGAGGCTCGACCAGAGAAGGCTCCCCATCAGACAACATTTCTAACACAGGCAGCATTTTCTGTATTTGCAGTCGACTCCTTGTCCGGCAACAACCGCTGTCTTTTCGCACTATTATTAAGCCACGCCGGCGGCATCTCATGACGCATCTAGGTACGCTGGGCATATATGACGTGCCGGCGGCGGCTGAGTACCGGCATCTTACGGAGTACCTGCACCTTGTGAGTACCGGCCCAATTCAAGCACTGGGTCTAGATGTAAAAAAAAAGCAACAACATCTTCCTTTTTTGTATTTTCACAAATAGAATTAAGGTTTCACAAATCTCAAACTGGGTTATAAAGAATCTTTAGACTCTCTGGGATAATCCAGTCCAAATAAATCGGCTATGCAGCGATTTAAGAGGTTCAAACATGGAGGATTGTTCGCTCAGCGCTGTAAATTAAATCCCTTCACCCTTAACTTTCCCCTTAACTGCCAAATCGGAAGCTCTGAATCGGAAGCGAACTTCAGCATCGTGTATTTTCACATACCTGCAGCAAGTGCTAATAAAGGGTCTAAAGTGTTATTAATGTGATAATAAAGTGCTACTGAAGAGTGTAAAGTGTTAATTATGGGTAAAGGGAACAGACCTGCTCTGTAGTGATGTTACGTATTGCGCCGAGGCTTCGGAGCGTGTGTCGAGTAATCCCCGAAGCTTTTTGTGAAGCTTGTATCGAGGCTTGTATCGTTTTGTGCCAGTGACGTCACCGATGACAAACGAAGCCTCGCTGCCTGTCGATACCACGTGACTGCTTCACGAAGCGATTCAGATCGGTTGAGTTTACGAATATTATTAAGGATCCCTCTTTGCAATGTTTACCAGCCTCCTTAGGCTTTTCAATCACAATCATTCAACTGGAATAAAAACAATATTGTTAACATGAAAATATGATTTAATGTTCGTTGTTTAGAGTTATTCTACGGCTTTACTCATTGGGAACTCGGTATGAGATAGAGCACACTGTTGAGATGTCCAATCTGCCTGTTTTACACACTTTGACCAACAGGGGGGTTTGTGTTCAAATGAAGCCCATGATGAAGCCTCATGAGATGAATCAATCAATCAATCAATCAATCAATCAATGTTTATTTATATAGCCCAATATCACAAATGTTACATTTGTCTCAGTGGTCTTCACAGTGTGTACAGAATATCAGTATGACAATACGACACCCTCTGTCCTTAGACCCTCACATCGTACAAGGAAAAACTTCCGGAGAAAACCCACAGTTTAAAGGGAAGATGAACCCTTTAGCGAACCAATTGGCTGGAAAGCTTCAAAGCTTCATAAGGCTTCATCTCACCATCACTACTGCTCTGTGTATCCGAAGCTGAGGCTGTAAAACAGCGTCCAGTAGTTTCTGGAGTCTCTTGTTCTCCTCTTTGGAAAGAGACAGCTCCTCCTCGTACTCTGCTATCATTTTTTCAAACAGAGCAAATATAGATAGGCGAAGTCCCTCCCCTTCCGGGGGACCTCCATGGGACCTTATTTCGAAAAAATTATGTATTGAAGTCAATGGAGAGAGAAAGATTATCTTTCGATCCCGTTTGAATTGTGCCACGAATTACACATATGATGTTTGTCAATTTAAAAGATAATTTTGCAAGTCAAAAAAATAAAAATGTGTAGTAAAACTGTGAAGTAACACATTTGTGTGTGTGAAACACTTAATGGACTACATCTCTGGGCCCTTTCTAATTTCATCAAATCCCCCTCCTCGACTCCTCGGCCCTCCGGTAGTGACCTGGAAATGAATTTTAGCGCGCCATGTTGAAGGACATCTCATTTCTCTAAATGCACTTCGAGGATCGAGCGTCGAGGAGGCTCTCTGGAGGAGTTATAACCGAGGATACACTGATGGGTCCTCCACGGCTCCTTCGTGGATGCATTTCCGGGAACAGAGATGTTTCAAAGAGACGTGACGCATGGCCGGACTTATCTCAGCCAATGACAGCTCTGCATGCATCCCCTGGATATTATTTTATTAACTGCTCTCATCACGAGGCGATGTTTCCAGAGAGAACAGCTGTGAGGTCCGTGCAGAAAGCAGAGCAGTGTGTATAATATATATCACTCAGTATAACAGGCCTACTCTCTGTATTTGCTTTAGTTTAGTAGATATCTACAAACAAAGAGTCGATAGTTTTCTAAAACCATTTAGTGCTTCACATAATAAAATACACAACGGCTGTAGCCTGATTATATGCTTTAGGAGCTGTAGGTGCGTGTGTAGGTACAGTGTGTAGGTGTGTGTGTTGTACAGTGTGTGTGTTGTTGTACAGTGCGTAGATGCAGCGGACAGACAGGTCTCAGTTGGTTTGGTGTCCTCTGCTTACTTTTAATACTTGTAAATACAATTTTTGGCCCGTAATTTTTTTTCCTCATTGTAGCGACCAGAGAGGGGGGGGGGGGGGGGGGGGGGGGGGGTATATCCAGTCTCTGATAGTGTTACGTTATTATGAGAGTGCTCTGTTTGATTCTGAAATTGTATATTGTTGTGACACGTTATTGGACATAATTCACCTTGCTTATTGTGTTGCCACACGGACCCTTTAGTCGGGAACACCTGTAGCTTTAGCTGCCATTCCTGCTAGCTCATCAGGCAGAGCAGTGCATGTGTTAACCTCTCTGAAAGTAATGGATAATAAAGATTGGAACTCCATTCTTAATACACCGCCTCCGACTCTCTTTTCACGGCACTACACTGGTGACCCTGACTTTTCCGAGAAAGTTTCCGGAAAATTAACGAACATGGCTGAGCGCGATGTTTTCATAAAGCTGCCGGAATTCTGGGAGCACGCCGCGGAGGCATGGTTCGCACACGTGGAGGCACATTTCGCCTGCCGACAGGTCCGTGACGGGGACCTAAAATACTACCATGTGGTAGCAGCGCTGGGGAGCTCCACGTCGTCCAGGTTGGTGGGATTCATCGCAGCCCCCCCACATCATGGCAAATATGAGGCGATTAAGGCCCTTCTCCTTAAGACATTTAGCTTATCTGCTAAGGAGAGGGCCCGCCAGATACTTGACATTCAAGGCCTAGGAGACAGCAAGCCATCCCAGCTAATGGAGAAAATGCTAAATCTGCTAGGGGGGGAAGATCCCCGGATTTTATTCACGGAGATTTTCCTGCGTCACTTGCCTCTCCGGGTACAGACGGCGCTGGCCAACACGCCTGTCACGGAGCCCCGTGCTTTGGCTGAGGAAGCGGATCGTTTTTTCCTGGCTACGCAACAGCCCGGGGCAGAGACGTTAGCCGCGACGCTCAGCGGCCCACCGGCAGTCAAGAAAGCGTGGCGGAGGCCGGACACGGCTGTGGCTAGCCGGCGTGGAGACGCCGGAGAGTGCGTTTACCACGCACGTTTCGGGACAAGGGCGAAGAGATGCATCGCTCCGTGCAGCTACAAACCCCCGGGAAACGGAGGGGCCGGCGCTCAGTAGTGGCTCTGAGCGTCGGCGGCACGTGCAGGCTCCTCTTCGTCAGCGACAGCGTTTCGGGGAGCTTGTTTCTGTGTGACACGGGCGCTCAACGGAGCGTAGTTCCAGCGTCGAGTGAAGACGTCGCCCGTGGGGGGCACGGACCGCGATTGACGACGGCTAACGGCAGTCCCATTCGCACATACGGCGTGAGGCCTATGTGTTTGTGCATCGGAGGACAGCGTTTCAGCTGGGATTTTGTGACAGCGGACATTTCTTTTCCCCTCCTCGGAGCGGATTTTTTGTGTGCTCATGGACTCTTAGTGGACGTTAAGAATAGGCGTTTGGTTGATGCCTTAACGTTTTCTTCCCTCGTGTGCACACTTGAGAGCGCAGCGTACGACGGGCTGTCAGGCTCACTGTCAGGTGCAGACACGTTTCTCAGACTGTTGGCCGAGTTTCCAGACCTGTCGCTTCCCACCTTCTCTGCGCTTACCACTAAGCATGGCGTGGAACACCACGTCACTACCGGGGGGGCCTCCTGTCTACGCCAGGGCCCGGCGGTTGAACCCTTCTAAGCTGGCTGTAGCGAGGGCGGAGTTCGCAACCATGG